GATCGAACACAGCAAGCATGGGCAAGATCCGCACCAAGACGGTGAAACGCGCGTCGAAGCAGCTGGTGGAGAAGTACTTCACCAAGCTGAACAAGGACTTCTACCAGAACAAGCGCCTCGTCATGGACGTCACCATTGCCCGCTCCAAGAAGCTGAAGAACAAGATCGCCGGCTACGCGACGCACATCATGAAGCGCCTCGCCCGTGGCCCGGTCCGTGGTATCTCGCTGAAGCTGCAGGAGGAGGAGCGCGAGCGCCGCATGGACTACGTGCCGGAGGTGTCGCACGTCGACCAGGCCATTCAGGATGGCGTGCAGGTCGACAAGCAGACCCTCACCATGCTGAAGCGCATGGAGACCGGCGTGCCGCGCCACGTTGTGCTCGCCCACGCTGCGGCCCCCACCATCAAGAAGGGTGACCGCCGCCCGCCTTTCCGCAAGTAAGCAGGGACATGCTTGCGTGTTTGTTGATGTGATTGCTGATGGTCGATCTCCCTTTGATGATTTTTATTTTGTCTTCTTTTAGGCGAGTTGCCTCGCAAAATAACAATAACAATACAAAAAAAAGCAACAACTATGTTGTGTTTGTGTGGTGCTTCCGCCCTTTGCGCTTCCTCTCTCCCTTATGGAGGCTGTGGCTGCCGCTTTGCGTGTCTGTTTGCGATGTCTTCCACTTCTTTTCTCTTTTGGTCGCGCCGATCCCTGCATGCGCCTGGGACGCCCCCTACCGCATCTGTGCGGGGAGAGAGGGTGAAGAGTTTCTCTAGGCGAACTAGTATGCGGGAGTCCGATCTTGTGGAGCTGCGGGTGCTGCCGAAGGTCTTCCCGCGGCACCCGTACGCGCGGCATACGGCGGGCCTCGGTGCGGGTGATAGCGCCACACCGCCGGCTGCATCCAACAGCAGCCGAGTTCTTAACGTGAAAGTGATCGGCATTTACTGCTCTCGCCAACCGACAGGTGAACCCAGCGCGCCAAGCGAGAAGGGAGGAGGAGGAACCAATACAAAAGTTGAGATGCAGCACCGAGAGGGGGAGGCGGTCTCGGCCAATGAGATTCTTGGTGAGCGAGGCGGGGACGGCATGGGAGATTCTTCCAAACGGCACATTTACGTCCGGGTGCAGTTTAACAAGGCTCTTGTGGATACCATGCCGCTGGAGGTGATGCGGGAGAAGTACCCGCAGGTGCTCATAGACTATCTGCTTTCAACGGCTGTCTGGACGTGATGTTGCCCCTCTTCTTTATTTTTCTCTTTGCATCGGCCGAAGAGTAGGGGCTTGGTGAGAGTGAACGGCAGGAATTGTGGGACCCGCATTGTTTTTGAGTTGCTTGTTGTTTTCTTCTCCTTCCTGTGGCGGCTTTGGAGTGGTTTCTTTCTCCTTGTCGCATTGTGGCTTTTGCGGACTTCATCGGCGATTCTGCTCGCTTCCCTGCTGTAGCTTTACTGAGGCGGCTTGGCGGTAATGTGGTTTGTGTGGCTTTTTTTTTTTGTGTCTGTGTGTGTGATGCCGACTGTCTGCGTGATTTTTGTCTTTGTCTTTGGGAGCGCGGCCCCACTCCCCCTGCTCTCTTCTGTTTGCCTGCGTGTGCTTTTGCCCCTGTGGTGGGTGGGCTCTTGCGTCCAGCGTCTTTCTCGTCTTTCTTGTTTTTTTTTTATTTCTTCAAACAACGACACACACACACACACACACACCTTGGTGCAGGAGAGAGCGAGAGCAAAGAGGGAAATACTGTGAGGAGGGAGGCTCTGCGAAGACGGATATGACAGAAGAAGAAAGAAGCAGCGAACCCGCACTAAAGGCACATCGCTGGGAGACGGCATTGGGTGCTCCGGTATCGCTGCCAACCTCCTCCCGCTGGGGGGCTGGAACCCCGCGTCAGTTGGGTGGAGACACGCCAAAGGTGCTTGTGAATGCGGAGCTCTCGGCGTGGCGCGGCCACTCGACCCCGACGCCAAGCGCCTACACGGTGGACTCCGTTAGGACTCCAACGATGCGAGGGCAGGGCGGCCAGACACCGACGTTTGGCGCAGGAGGAACAACGCCTATGTTTGGCGGGACAACCCCGATGTTTGGTGGGGCGACTCCGATGTTTGGCGGGGTAACACCGGCGGCGGGCACGGCATTTGGCGTCACCCCAAATCTTCAGTTTGAGGGAACTACCCCGGTGCAGTCACGGTTTGCCGGAGGGGACTCGCAGTCGGCCATTACAGCCAACATTGAGGCGCAGGCGCGGAAGCTGGAAGTGCAGTGGCGGATGAAGAACAAACGGCTGACGGAGGAGTATCTTGACTCCATTCTTCCGCCCGAGTTCAAACTCGTGGAGGCTCCCGCAGACTACAACCCGCCACCCCCGGAGGAACCAAACTTCTACGAGCTTGCCAGTAAGTCGCTGGACGTGTTTGTGGTGAACCAAAACAGCGACGCTGCGGCGGCCGTCACATACGACATTCCAGAGAGCCTGGGGGAGGGGATGCCGCAGATGAAGCCGCAGGATGCACCGGTGTTTGAGATGCTGCTCAAGTACCATAACGTGAACCCCATCCCCGATGAGGTGCTGCCGTCGTACCTCCTCATGAAGAATCTTTTTAGGATTAAGAACGGCGATACAAACCAGCGCCGTATTGCCACGCGGTTCTTACTAGATAAGGCTCGTGTGTTTGGTAGTGAGCCACTTTTTCAATTCACGTTTCATGTATGGCGATCCAGCAGTCTGGATTTGCAAGAGCAGCACCATTTTGTGGATTTTGTGAAGGGTGTGATTTCGAGATTGCATAAGGAGGTGCGAAGTTCCACGAAGGAAATTGTGCACATGATGGAGGTTCTCCTCTCCGCCCAGGAGGCAGCTGTCCGGGAGGATGGCAAGGAAGTCCTCGCGCTTCTCACTCGCGTGGTTGGGTACGAGGCGGTGTTTGAGGCGATTAAGGAGGACTTTGCGCACGTGGAGAACGGCGTGCGTCGGCACACGGCGAAGGTGGTTGCTATCGTGGGGTATGCCGTGGGGCCAGCGACGGCGCTGCAGATTATCCACGGCATGTCTCTTTCCCCAGTTGCGTTGGCACGGCAGACGTCTGCGCGCGCCATCACAGAGCTGGCGTCTATCCTCATGCACGCCATCACTGGCGAGCTGGTGGAGCTGGTGCCCATCTTTGAAAAGCTGCTGCGGGATGAACCGCGCGTCAAGCGTGAGGCTGCCAACGCACTTGCGCATGTAGCAGATGCATCTTATCCCTACGGCATTGAGGAGTTAACACCACTGGTGCATATTGTACGGGAGGAGTGCAAGCGTGGCATCGGTAGCACTGCAGGGCCGTTTGTGCGTGCCTTTGGCTCACTGGTTCCGCTTATGGCACCGTACGATGCGCAGAAGTACACTTCCGACATGATACCCACCTTGGTGAATCAGTTTAACACGCCGGAGGATGAGCACCGTCGTGTGCTGTTGCAGGTTGTACGACAGTGCGTCTCCGCAGAGGGTGTCACGGCGAGCTTTATTCGCGACGTACTATTGAAGCCTTTCTTTGACGGTTTTTGGTCCGTGCGTCGCGTGGCTGCGGAGCGCAAGACGGCAGCCGCTCTGGTGGAGACAACGGTGGCGATTTCAAGAAAACTTGGCAGCACTGAGATTTTGCAGTATCTTGTGCAGGACATGAAGGACGAGAATGAACACTTTCAACGCATGGTCATTGACACTGTGCGGCGTGTGGTGCGGGCGGTTGGGACGGTTGGGGTTCCCGACACTCTTGTCGCCCTTCTTCTGGATGGTGCCATTGCCGCAGTGAAGCAGGACGAGAGCGGCCTCAACCGTGTGGTGCTGGAGGGGATGGCTTCCATCTGCAACTCGCTTGGGAAGCGGTTGAAGCGATATCTGCGTCAGGTGTTTGACCTTATTAAGAGTCGTCGTGACATGCCGGGAATGATCCGTATGCAGGCAGCCGAACTGGCCGCTCGCATTGCCCACACTGTGAAGGAGGCTGAGGGTGTACTTTTCCTGCAGGATCTCGGGCGCAGCCTTTTTGACCGCCTGGAGGACGATGAAGCGGCCGTGATGAGTGCAAACATAAAGGCTACGCGTGCCATTTTAGTGGCGCTCGGGGCAGCTAAGTACCAGCCTTCTGTAAAAGAGTTGCTGAAGAAGTTGACGTACATAATTCGTAACCGCAACAGTAATGTGCAGCTGAACACCATCTTGCTTATTGAGGAGATTGCGACGAACTGCGATGAGGATGTGGATGCCATACAGCTGCTGAATTTGGCCACCAAGGGCCTCTTTGAGCTCCTGGACGCCGATCGCCGTGAAACACGTCGGGCGTGTACCCGGACATTTGGTGTCATTGCCCAGAAGATTCGTCCCTTCGCCATCATTCTTGAGCTCGTCGATAACTTTAAGCAGGATAAGCGTAAAATTCGCATCTGCACCGCCGTGGCGTTGGCGGCCATTTCCCGTGAGTGTGGCCCCTTCACTGTTATTCCCTACCTCCTTAACGAGTACAAGATCAGCGAGGGAGAGCAGGTGGCGACGATTGTGCAGCACGCCGTGCTGAAGGCAATTCGTTACATTTTTGAAGCCATTGGGGAAGTGGGGAAGGAGTACGTCTATCCACTCGTCCCACTCCTGCTTCGGGCACTCACAGAGACGGAGATCCAGCACCGTCGCATGGCTGTTGAGGCCTGTCGGGCGATCACGATGGCAGTAGCAGGCAACGATGGGTTTGAGGAGGTGGTGATTCACTTTCTCAACTTTGTTCACCCGAACATCATAGAGCTTCTCTCGCGGAATGAGACTAAGATTAGTGAGGAGCGGCTCAAGATGGTCACTGCCGTTGTGAGCTTCTACGAGGCTGCCCTCCTCGTGGTTGGCCCCGCCAAGCTGCTGCAGTACCTGCTGCAGGGCCTGTTTCATCCGGCGAAGAAGGTGCGGGATATTTACCGGCGGACGTACAATATGATTTACATCGTGAGCCCGGAGGCACTTGTGCCGTGCTACCCCAGCGTGGAGGACGACGGCGAGCACGCCTATGCTCGTCATGAACTTGAGGTGACTCTGTAGAAGGCAGCTGCTGGGTTGAGAGTCTGTGAGTGTGTGTGCAGGGGGTGCGACGAGTGCCCGTTTGAGCCTTACACTCCCTGTTTTTGTTTTTCGTTCTTTTTCGTCCGCCATGTGGTGTTAAATGTCAGGAATTAGAACAGGCTGGATAAACATACAACTGCGTTTTTGCACGCTACCAAATGTCTCTTCTCCGTCGTTGGCCCCCCGCCTCGTCGTCCGCGTGTCTGCACACGCGGGTGTTCTTTTGACCTTCGGGCTGCAGTTATTATTATATATTTTTTTTTCTCTTTGTCTCCTGTTTTTAATGGTTTTTTATGCGTCTGCGTGCATTGGGGTGGGTGTGGCGATTGGGACACCACAGTAGGAGGTAAGGGAAAATCGCTGCACGCAACGTATGTTTCTTGACGTCTCAAAGGCGCCGGGGGAACACACCGCCCTTGAAGATATTCAGGAGTTGCAGAAGGCCATCTTATATACGGAGCGAAATAAGATTGGCACACTCAAGTTGCAGTACAACAACCTCACCACGCTGAGCATCTCCACCCCGTTGGCGGTGGCACTTAAGCACGTTACGTCTCTGACGGCGTCGTATAATTGCCTAAGCACTTTGCAAGGGTTAGAGGCCTTTGCTTTCCTGGAGATTCTTGATTTGAGTCACAACTCGCTGCGCGTACTTGATGCACACTCGACGTCCATACTACGTAGGCTGCGGTACCTGCGTCGCTGCGACTTCTCTTATAACGAGATTCGTCTCATTGATCTTGACATTCCTCTTCACGGCAGAGAGAATGAGGCACCAGAAAACGATGATGGTAGTGACTCCGTGACGCTGAGTGATCTCACGGTGCTAAACTTGGATCACAACCAGCTAATCGACGTCCCAGACTTCCGATGCATGCCTTTTCTAGAGGAGTTGCACCTGGAATACAATCGTATTGAGTGCCTTACGGATCTTGAGAGTCGCCTCCCGCTTTTGGCGCTTACATCCTTGTCGATAGCTTGCAATGTATTGCGGTCTCTGCAGGATCTTCTTCCCCTCACGGTACTGGCGGAAACCCTCAAAGTACTGGTTGTCCGCGGAAACCCCTGCATGCAGACTGCCGCCGTCGCCAATGGGTGCCCCGTGCGGTCCTGGCTGCTGTGGATTCTGCCGCAACTGGAAACTATCGACGACGTCCCCTTCACCTTGGAGGAGCGTCAGACGACGGCAGCGATGTTTCGGCAACACGGCGAGCTTAGCCATGAGGCTATAGAGTTGATGAATAACCACCAAGAGCTGCAACTGGAGGCGTACCTGCAGAAGTTTGCGCTTCCACAGGTGCAGGGTGGGCGGCACACCGCTGACGTGATGCCGGGAACAAAAATGGAGCAACCCGCCGCTTCATCGAAAGAGAGAGGCGCGTCAGTGTCGTCCTCGCTGGGAGGCATGACAGCGCGCCTGCCAAATGTGCTTAGCGCACCAAACGTTGGTCCATGTGCTAGTGAGAGTTTGGCTCGGCCGCAGTCTGCTAAGACGGTTTTGCCGATGATGCAAAAGAAGCTGAAGCAGCTGTCAAACGTGATGGAGGTGCTGTGGAAGGAAAGTATGACACGGCGTATGTTTGCTACTGTCGTGCTGCAAAAGTACGCACGTGGGTTTCTAACACGTCAGCATCTTCCAGAGACCATGCGAGAGAGTTGCGCACGCATTAGAAGTAACCTGCGCTGCTCGCTTCGTAGGCAAGTGTGGAATCTGCAGCCGCAACAAACGATGACGACGATGGCTTCTACTATGAGTAAGAGCGAGGCGCAACGATTCAAGAACAGCGGTGGTGACTCAAATGAAATGACGGTGTTAGCGAAGCAGATGAGAACGTTAGAGTCCCAGATACGTCACATGTGGACTGTGATGGAGGATCTTTGTGACATGTGGAAACGGCGGAGAAACGCTGCCGCCGTCACGATTCAAAAGTACTACCGCGGTCACGTTGATAGGATGAAGTGGAGCCGTCTTAAGAGGCTCTACGACGAGTTTGTTGACTCCTTGCGTCCGGAGGTGGTCATCATACAACGGGTGTGTCGTGGGTACTTGGGCCGTCGGAAGCTCATGCGGCGCCGCGCAAAAACCTTAGGGATACGGCTCCTGAGAGCGGAGGTCGTGCAGCTGCGCCGCATTGTGGAGGAGATGCGGGCGTTTATGGAGCAGAGCCAGCGGCGGCAGCGGCTGGAGCGGTACGTTGATCCCGAGAAGGCGATAGACGATATCGTCTCCACGTACGCCACCTCGCGCGCTGCACCTCCCCGTGAGTAGCAAACACACACACTTCAAAGCCGAATGGCCACACACCCCACACATCAACGAAAGAGGGGGAGTCATCACACACCCACACATCAACGAAAGAGGGGGAGTCATCCAAACACGGCAAAAAGCCGTATATATATATATATATATATATATATATGAGCAGAAAGGATCGACGTCGCTGTTTGTGGCGCCACTCATTTTTTTTTTTTGGGGAATTCGTTAGGCACACTTGCACGCGCAAGACGTACGCGAGCGTATCTTCCAGGGGCTTGTAGGTGTTGCGCATATGGGCACCAGTGAGGCGTTGTGTGCAAGTGCCCTCCTGGGCTATTTCCGGAAAAGGAAAAGAAAAGAGAGGGAACAAAAAGGCATAAGAGCCGGCGTGAAACAACCCCCGTTTCCACTTTTCTCTCCACTGAGGCAAACTTCTTCTTTTATTGTGATTGTATTGTTCTTTCTGTATCTGGTGCATTTTGCTCTCGTTTCATTTTACCGCGCGCACATGTATGAGTGACACCCACCGTTTCTGTTCCGCTTCCACGGGTTGTAATGTGTGTGTGTGTGTGTGTGTGTGTGTGTGTGGGCTTATGCATCCGAGTGGCGAATTGGTCTTTTTTTTTTCTCAGCAGCAGCTCACGCGAGTGAGGTTTGGTTGTGGGAGCAGCGACCACCAAGGCGTAGGCGCACAGCTACACATCTTTGGGGCCGCGTGCACGCGAGCATTCATGCGAAGAGGGCGGAGAGTCTTTACAAATCAAAGCGAACGGGCAGGAGGAAGAATGGTGGCGACGCTGCACCATAATTTTGTTCCGCGGACCACCAACTTCTATGAGAATAGTCTGAAGCAGCTTAGCGACATCCAGCAGAAGCAGGCTGGGCTTCTCATCGGTGCCGTGGTTGCCGATGCGGCGGCGCGTGGGCTGGAGGGATTTTCGGCCGAGGAGATCGCCGAGTTTGAGAAGCGCCAAGCAGCGTTACACGGCGGTAGCGACGGGGAGGAGTCGCTTGTGTTTGCGCTGGCCGGTCCTCCACACCGTTCCTCGTCTCCGCCCCTGACGGGTGCGCTGCGGCACCACTCCTACACATGCCTGCTCGTGCAGCAGCTTCTCCGTGTTATGGCCGCCGCGAGAGGGGAGTTCCCTGTGAGTTACGTGAAAGACCGTTGGGTTTCCGTCGCACATGCACATCCGCAGTGTTTTGCGGCCGAGCATGCCTCGCTGTTGAACGTGTTGGGGGTCGTTTTGTCGTTGCCGGTCATTTATCCCTGGACGGACGACGCGACGTTGCGGGCGTACGCAACGCCGTTTATCGACTTCCTCACGGAGCCCCCGGAGGGCGGGGTGGCAGCGGCCACAACACGGAGTGCTGTGCTGGCGTACACCTTTTCCGCGCTTGGCGTCGCGCTGCGCTGCCTTCAGAGTAACCCTGACCCGTACCGCAATGCCGCCATCATGGCGGTGCCAGGAACTGCAGACTTATTTCCCGACGACGTCGTCTCCTTTGCGCCAAGGCGAGCGCAGAACGAGTTGCTGTCGCAGCTAGTCGACGCCAGCGCCGCCGGGTTGGATGCCACCCCACTTTCTGCCTGCGGAAGCAGCAGCCGTGATGGCTGTGCTCGTGCTGCCGGCCACTCGGCTGCACTCTCTCCAGCCCGTCCTCTTGTCGAGGACATCCGTGTGTCTCGCGAGGCGCTTATCGTGGCGAGGCGCGCCCGCTCCTTCGCCGACGGTGTGCGGGCGGCAATTCGTTTGGGTGCTCCCGTGTGTCAGCGGAGCCTACTCGTTGGCGGGCTGCTGGGCGCCCGGCTAGGGGTGCGCCGGATTCCACCGAGTTGGCTTAGCGCGACGCATGACCACAGCCCCCTTGCCACTATGGCGATTGAGGTGGCGCAGTGGAGTTGGAACCCCCCGCACCACTAAAGGCGCAAACGCTGGCCGGATGTTCTAATTTCACGCACGCACCGACATAAGAGCGGCGACCGCGACACTTTTTGCAGAGAATTACGTGCATGCATATCTTCTTTTGAGTGTGTGTGTATGTGTGTGTGTGTGTGTTTCTTTTTCCACTCCTCTTCTTTTTTTTATCTCTCTTTTCTGTGGGTGACGCTGTCTATTTTGTGTACTTGTCGCCACATATGCGTTTGTTTCTTTTTTACTACGTTTTCGTTGATTCTGTCGACAACCGCACTGCACACACGCATGAATAACAAGGGACTTTTTTTTTGTCTTGCTCAAGCGGGTCTTGGTTGGAGGCGAAACCCAGCAGTGTGAAACGCAACATAACACGTAATAAAGTGAGGGGACAGTGAGGGCGCGACGGAAGTGCGGTGCGGGGAGTGGAGATGAGCACAACTAGTCCGAGGCGTGCGGTTGCCCTTCGTCGTAGAGTGCCGCAGCACCTGGAGAGTCTGGACGACTCACTGCCATCTAGAATAACAACCCGGCGTCCTAGTGTTCAGAATGGTCGCCACCGCATAAGTACAGCACGCTCCTCGCTTATGCCATCCGTCCTGCAGAGGCGGATACAGCGGGATGCGGAGCTCGTCCTGGAGGAATCGCTTTGGCATCTGTGTGGGGAAAACGTGGAGGAAACGATGGATAAATTACTCGGAGTTATCTCTATTCGTCGTGGTGGGCCCCTAACCCCGCGAAAGGGGCGGCCGCTGTGGCAGCGCGTACAGGCCATTGTGGTAATTGCCAATCAGGAGGGCATTCGTCGCATGCTGATGGCAACTCCGAGCGAGAGGGTGCGCTTTTTCTTTGATAAATCGCTGAGTATATTGGAGTTGCCGTCCAAGAAGCGATTTCCCTGGAGACAGGACGAATTTGCCGCGTTTCCGTCACTTCGCAAGCATCTTGTTGGGACAACGCTGAACAACAAGGCCGTTTTGCAGCACACAGCTGGAGATTCCCCACAGCTTGTCGTGCAGACACTTCAGCGCGCCCTTCGCGAGCAAGGGACCGCATTTGCCACCACGGTGCTGTACAATTTGGCGGTGACCATGGTGTCCGTGCAGCGGTTTGACCTTGCTAGCGATTTTATTGCCTGCTGCAGCGAGTTGGTTGAGGCGTGTCTGCGCATCGACATCTCGGATTGCCCTGGGGTCTTGCCGCTCTGCACAGAATACCACACAAACATTGCCACACATGCCATTATGTGCCATCACCTTGTCGCCGCTCTCGCTGCGTGGTGCAGCCTGCAGGATGTGGAGCGCTACCACTGCCAGCTCGCCGTGTGCTGTGCCCAGCGGTACCTGGACCCGAAAAGCCTTATTGCCATTCGCTGCAGGCAACGACTGGCGGCGGCCAGGGAAGGAAGCGGCGCGTTTATGATGAGCGAAGCTGAGCCACCGCGGCTTCCAATGCTTCACGACGACTTATCGCTTGTGAGGGACTCCCTCTTTATTGTGCTGCTGGAGCGAGCGGGGAAGATGCCGACACCGCCGAGGCTCGCAAACTGTATCGCCCAGTTTTTGTCCTTTGACCTGTCGCTCGACACCCAGAAGGCTGTCCGGCTTCCGCCGCTTAAAGCCAAGCGGCGGCACTTGGTTGAGCAAAGGCAGGCCCCTACCGTCCAAAGCAAGCGTACCTCGTCACAGCGACAGCGCTCTCTCTTGCAGGGGAGGTCTTCCTCGAATCTCAAGGACAAAAAGGGATTGAGGGCGAAGACGGAATCCGAGTCATCGGTCATGACGAGTACACTGCTGGAAACATTTCGGAAGGAGCGCGCCGCGACACCACCGCGAGAGGACGACCTCTTTGGTGTGGACTTTGTTACGAGACCGGAGACCCCACCCCTCATTACCTTTGTGCCTAAGCCGGCGTTTCACTGTTATAAGCACCTGAGGAAAGAACTGCGCCGTTTAATGTGTGAGCTTGGGAAGGAGGCGCGTGTTGCAATGTCGACAACGACGACAACTGGGGCCGAGTTCAGGGAATCCTTGAACGGGACAGACGGTCATGGGAGCATCGTTTCTGAGAGCAGGATGGCCTCACCGGACCCTGAAAGCTACATGCGAGTTATGGATAAGAAGCTGCGTCACCTTTCACGGCTTCTCCCAGATGAGGAGTTTGAACGAAAGGAATGCGCCACTGTGACGATACAGAGTTTCTGGCGGGGTGTCGTGGACCGTCGTGAATACCACCGACGCCTTTTACCGCTGCATGAGGCCATGCTTAGGCGCGAGGCCGCCGAGGTTATTCAGCACGCATTCCGTAACTACCGTGCCACGCGAGAGCCCATACAAATGAAGAGGGCGCTCCGCGCCCATCGCATTCTGGTGCAGCATATAGTACGTATCCAGTCCTACCTGTATTGTAAAAAAAGTGTAGAAGAGGTCGGGGAACGAACGGTTGTATCACTTCAACGTCTTATTGCTGCTATGTTAGAGGCGCGCCGGAGGAACGCTGCTGTCGTGCGTTTACAGTCCTTATGGCGCATGTGTCGGGTGTGGTCTTGGCTTCGCCGTACTGTGACAGCAACTCAGACCATTCAACGTGTGTGGAGAGGGCACCGGGGAAGGTTACGGGCGAGGGAGGCACGCGTTTGCTTCCGCCTGGAGGAGCAGCGGCGGATAGCCAGGCACACAGCGGCGGTCTGTCCCATTCAGCGATGGTGGAAGAGTATCTTGTTGCTGCGTGCGTGCAAAGCGATTGTGGCGCACAGGCAACGCGAACTCGCTGCGTACCTGGCAGCAGAGGAGCAAAAGTTTAGTGTGGAGTGGGAACGCATCAAACACGTCCCCAACGTAGAGTTGTGTATACAAAAAGTACTCTCAGTGCTCCGCGGCTTCCGCTGCCGTGAGGAGCTTGCGCATCAACAGAAATTTACAAACATCCTTCGACGCTTTTTGCTGCGCATGGTGTGGAAAAAACGACTGCAAAGGTGCCTACAACGCCTGAAGGAGGAGCGGCAGGAGACTCGCGCGCTGCGGCGTCGTCGGGAGGAGGTGATGGATGCGACTATTCGTATCCAGTGCGTCGCTCGCCGCTGGTTGGCCTCACGCGTGCGAACCGTGTTGTGGGATGAGTTGCAGCGGAAACATCATCAGGCCCGTGTTATCCAGCGCGCCTATCGACGCTGTGTGGGTCGACGCCTAATACATAGCAAAAGGGCGGAGGCAGCGTTTGAGGAGGAGAGACGAATGGTGGATCAGTTGATAAAATACAGTGCCTCCAAAATTCAAGCCACCTGGCGCATGCATAGTGTGCGGCAGTCACAGGCGGAGTTCCTTAACTTCTTGCGAAGGGACCGCCATGTCTTTGCGTCTCGCATTCAAAAGGCCTGGAGAACGTACAAGGCACGTTGTCAATCAGATTGGCTGCGCCTTAGCCAAGACAACACACATCGCCTTCTTCAGGAGCAACAGCTCCAGCTGACGGCTGCTATCCGCATTCAGTCTGTTGGACGCATGTTTCTTGTGCGTCAGCAGCTGTTGCGTGAGGGCGTGACTTTGTGGCCTACGCCTGCATTTATGCACCGATGCGCACGGACCATCCAGAGCGCGTGGCGTCGCCACGCCGCCTACGAATATGTGCAGCAGCTTTGTTTCTCACGAGCGTACTACGATCAGCAGAAAATAAATATGGAGACCTTGCACGTTTATGCAACCACGATTCAATCCCTGGTTCGGGCTAAAATTCTTAATCCACGGCGCGTTGCGGCTCGTCGTCTCGAGGTGGAGTACAACGAGGATCACAAGCGGAAGCGGGAGGATGCAATGCGATTGTATTACGACGCCATCACATCACAGGATGACGTGAACGGCACTAGTGCTTTGGTCCAGCCACCGCCAGCGGAGCCGTTGCCTGCTGTAGAGACGCAGGAGTGTGTGCCTACTGCAGTGGAGCTTGAGCCTGAGCCTGAACCTGAGCCTGAACCTGCGGCTGAAGAAGCTGAGAATGTGGAGGTGCTTGTTCAACTGGTCCAGCGTTGTGGTCGCGGCGCTTTGGCGCGTTGCAGTGTGTTTGATGTGGTTCGCGCGCGCCAGCAGGAGGTGGTGGAAAGTCCACTTGAAGCAGAAGCGGAGGCGGCGGATGAGGGGCTGCGCTCGCCCTCTGCGGTGATCACATCACAGGAGGACGTGAACGGCACTAGTGCTTTGGTCCAGCCACCGCCAGCAGAGCCGTTGCCTGCTGTAGAGACGCAGGAGTGTGTGCCTACTGCAGTGGAGCCTGAGCTTGAGCTTGAACCTGAGCCTGAACCTGCGGCTGAAGAAGCTGAGAATGTGGAGGTGTTTGTTCAACTGGTCCAGCGATGTGGTCGCGGCGCTTTGGCGCGTTGCAGTATGTTTGATATGCTCCGTGCGCACCCGCGGTGGAAGGCAGCTGTGGATGTGCAGCGTGTGTGGCGCGGCTACTGTTCAAGGCAGCTGGTTGAGGTGTACTATGAGTTTTACACGGATGATGTATAGGAGTTGTTGGCAAGTTAAGCCAGTAAGAGTAAGAAGAAGTGCGGGAGAGAAGGCACAGTGACGTATCCATCTGTTGCGGGTGGTGGCGTGTAGTGCCTTTCTTCTCTTTTCCGGCAAAAATGCATCTGTGCGTGCGTGAGCCTCTGGAGGGGAGGAGGGGGGCAGG